TGGGGGCCCAGGGCTGCCACCTGGCCCTGTGGTCACCTCTGCGTGGAGGGTCTGCCCACACCCCGTGGCCTACACTAGCCTAGGGACTGCCATGTGCTGGCCACCCCGTGTCCCTGGGGCAGGTGTGGCACGCAGCATGTGTGTGGTGCCTTGGGCCTGCAGGACACCAAGCCCCTTCCTGTCCTGTTTCTGAGGGTCCTGCCCCAAGGATGGTGATGCCTGCCGCCCTGCTCTCCTAGCCCACCTAGGGGCCCCACCCCTGCCCTCCCGGGCTGGGGGCAGGACTGAGGTGCCCCTCCCCTCCAGGGCCGGCTGTGCTGCACCTCCAGGGCTGTGGGGGCGCCTGGTTCACCCCGAGCTCACCTTCCTCCTGACATTCCCAGCTCTCAGTCGGCCATCCACACCACACCCCTCACTGCGCAGCACGCTCTCCTCGCTCGACCCACCGCACTGTCTGGGGCACCAGCTTTGGGTCTGAAACCGAGATTCTCCAAGTTCAGGGGTTAGGCCTCCCAGAAGCCCCCTCAGGGTCTGGCAGCCAGCTGTGCTGGAAATACCAGAGTGAAAGACGGGCTGCTGAGGGGAGCTGCAGACTTCAGGGAGAGCCTGGTGTGGGGCTGGGCCCTAGCAGGTGCCAGGCAGCTGTCCTGACCCCTTCGTTCCGCAGCGGCAGAGCTGTGTCTGCCGGGACTGCTCTCCCAGTGGGGGAGGGGACCCTTCTTGGTCAGGACCCGGTCCTCCCTCCATTCTGCCCTGACTCCCCGGGGGACGCGCTTCTGTGTGCAAACTGCCCAGGACCGTTTGTGGGCATTTGACGCGTGTGACGCCCGCCCAGGAGCCCTGCCGTAATCAGGTGGTTAGCATGCGCCGGGACACCGTCGGCACACACGTGTCTCCTTCAGATGCCAGGTCCGAGCTTGCCCAGGCGCCATCATGAACCCCACTCTGCAGAGGTGACCGAGGGTCAGCAGGGCAGCTGGTGGACTCCGCCAGCTGGGGCACAGTCCCATCCCTGCTCTGACCACGGGTCGTGGTCCTTTCCTCCCAGTCTAGGAACAGGGAGGCAGATGGAGCAGAGTTCTCCCCCAGCCGGGGAGCTGCCATCCTCCAGCATCGCTCAAAGCCTGTGAGCTGCTTCCAGAGCTCTGTGGGCCAGAACTGGGGAACCCTGAGCCTAAATAGCAGGCGTCCTGGGGGTTGCAGTCTACACCGACCTTCTTGAAATCCCCATCAGACATTAAAGGTGGTTCTGTTTAGAGATTAAAGAGACACTCTCTGTAGCAGGTACTGTGGGTGCCCACTCAGGGTCCCTCGGAGCTCTCCCCGGAAGGCCGCCCTGGGCCTTGGTGACTACTCACTGCCCTGCTCTTCTGCACCGAGCTGGGGGGCTCTGACTTACACCCAGGCTCTCCGCAGGCCCTCTTGGCCTCAGGCTGAGGCTGGAACTTCCCTTCATCTGAGCCCCTTGCTCAGAATCCCTCTTCCCTGTCCTCTCCCTTGACCATTCTAGCTGATGCCCAGGGGTATTTCCTAAGACACCCCTTCCACACAAGGTCACATCTGAGTTCACTTCTGGAAGAAATCCAGCTAAGACAGTCCCTTTCTGGCAGACCTCAGAGCCTCCACCCTGCAGTCATGAAAAGATGATTTTCCAAGACAGGAAAAGTATGTGATGTTCCCCAAACCCTACAGCCGCCCCCTTCATAGCAGCTCAATGGGCCGCCCTCTCCCCGTGGGTGCACCTGTGGGGCCGTGGGAAGGGGGTGGGGACAGGGGCTGGGAACAGCAACAGGCCAAAGAAGTGAAAAAGCTCCGTTCCAAAGAATTGTAAAATTTATTGTGTAAGTATTGCAGCTTTTCAGAATGTCGTCATTGCCACGAGTGATTACTGACACACAACAACAATCTCCTCAGGGTGTGGACTGGATCCAAGAGCAGTCTACACAGCAGCTACGCGGTGTGGGCGTGCACGCGGTGAGCCACGGGAGCTTACGTAAGTGTCACTCGAACAGAACTTGGGAACGGCTGTGGGAGTGCAGGGTCCGAACGCAACGAGGAACTCAACGTGAAAGCGTCGTCATCGGTGTGACAGCGTGGACTCAGGAGGAGACAGGACGGCGTGTCCTGAGCGCTATGGTACAGCGAGAACCCAAGCGCAGTTTCGGGTTAAACGAACGAACAAACAAACAGAAAACATTTTCCTTTCCTTACCATTGGGATGTTTCCTGCTCTGGAAGCTTTGTGTTGTGTGTAGGAATAAGAAAACTTTCTCTGAAACGCACAATTGACAGGACAGCCGGCGAGGGCAGGGGCGGCGCGGGCTCTCGCCCTGCCCTGAGTTTTGCTCTCTGCTGAGGAGAGGTGCCAAGCGCTGGGCTGAGAACATGGAGGGCTTCTGGCACAATTGCCAAGCCCGTCTACACAGACACGGGCTCTCACAGGGCGGATTTTCACTTGGAGGAAAGGTAGTTTACAAGCAGGAAACTGGAGGGGCCACGTCTCAGGCCCCAGGAACAGCAGACCCTGAAGCCGAACTCGTGAGGATGCTGCCTAACTTCCTACTGAAAACGGGGGCCCCTGACGGGCAACCCGGGGTTTCAAAGATAACGGCGTGAGTAGCGACATGTCGAGGAGAGAGTACACCCTGGGCTCGGGCCGACAGGGAAGCCAAGGGCCCAGCTCGGGCATGGCTTGCAGGCATTCGCTTGGTCTGCTTGGAGCTGCCCCTGCTCTTGACAAGTTGCTCCCACAGGAACTTCTGCCACTGTCACCCACCAGGAGCGGAACCCAGTGAGACAGGGCCTCAGCACTGGGCTGTGATCGGAGGGGCTGGCTCCACTCACAAGCCACCCCTCTCCTTCCTTGCCAAGCATAGCAGAAACAGCAGCTAGACCATAGCACAAAGCAACAAGCATCAAAACAGCTTGGCTCCAGAGACGTTGGGAACACTCTAGCCTGGCCTTTGGCGATGCCACTCACACCAACTGGGTCACTGCTAGGTTTTCGACCCAGGCGAGAATGAAACAGAGTCCTTGACAGAGAAGACTGGGGGAAGGGAGGTGATGCCTCACCAAGCTAGGCACATCCATGGGAGAGGAGGTGAGGACGTGAGAGTGATGGGGATGTCTGAGAAGCAGCAGTAGCCCTTCAAGATCACGGGACGGGATGCCAGTCCCAGGTGAGTGAGGCACTGTCCAGGAACGTCCCCCACCCGAAGCGAGAGAAGAAGGTTACTGCTTCCTCGGTAAGGCACTAGAGACGCTTCACATAAAGGAAAGATACGTCTGAAAAATCTCTGCGTGTCCCTGCACCTTTTGGGACAAACGGTGTCGGTTTCTCTGCACGACCTGAAAAAAGAATCTTCTTCAAGAGAGAAGCAAATATTAGGCTGAAGACCCCACGGAGAGGCAGGTTCTGCCGGGGTCAAGGTACAAGAACTTCCTGCCAGGCAGGTCCGTGGAACTCGGAGTCCCCACGAGCTGCCAGTCACTGTGTTCTTAAGATACACACACATATAAATAGAGTTCGAGCGGCCGGAACCGCGAGACTGCTGTCAGGGCTGTTTTTCAAGTAATAAAACGTTGCCTACAAACGATGGTTATCGCCGCGGATGGCTTTCTTTAATGTTGGCCTCCTAGTTAGCGTTCAGCGGGAAAGGAGAAGCCACCTGCGTGATGGAAGGGGCCGTGGGAGGCGGTGGGAGCCTGCTCCTGAAGTGGGGGGGCACTCCACGGGACACGAGCCCGCCCACCGTGGGGGACACCTGAAGTTCCAGTCACAGCTTCCGGCATGTCCTGAGGGGCCCAGTCCTCTCTTGTCACCTCCCTGTATTCTCCCTGCTCACCAGCAAGGGCTCCCACCAACTCCACATCTACCTGGTAAAAGCGCGGTGACCAGGAGCCGAGTCCCACACAGATGCAGATGAGAACGCAAACACGTGGGAAGGGACTGTTTCCGCAGACGGGAATGGAAGTGCGGGAACGGGGAAGGTCAGGAATCCCGCTTGTACGGCATCAAGCAGACTGGTGGGGCCTGACTGCCCTTGCTTCAACCCACCCATGTGTCCTAGGAGAATCTGGGCTGGTCACCTTTTCATCTCGGGTCATCTGTTTATTGGCCTCTCCAGTGAGAATCGATACGTAAGGGAATCGGACAGGGACGAGGCCGCTGACGCGTCGGGCCTGTCCAATCGCCCGTGGACCGCACTGACCACAGCCAACCAGTCTGGAGCCAGCCGGGTCGCTGCCCTGTGCAAATGAGCCACCTGGCCCCTGGGTGCTCCGGCCATGCGCAGGAGTGCCCGCAGCGTGGGAGGAGCACTTTGCTCCTTCCCACGGGAACTCCCGTGGTTGAAAAAAAGAGGAGGGAAAAGTAGGATTCCTTCAGTAACAGTTTATTTTCATTTGGGGACGGCAAAGCCACCGGCTGAGCTTGGGGCCTCTGTGCTAACTTCACTGTTTCCTTTTGATCCAAAGGCTGCCCTGGCCCAGCGGGGAAGACGCGTGTCCCCTTCGGTAGGGAATGTACAACGCGGTCACGACCTGTCACTAGACAGAGTGCCCACTCTGTGGGGACAGCCCTCAGGAAGCCAGCCTCCCCGGCCAGGGCCCTTCCTAGACTGCGAGGAAGCACGCCTTCTACCTGACGTCGACTCCGGAGTTGTGACATCGCTCACGGAGAGCCGACAGCAGGACGGAAGTTTCCATCGGACGAGCACTGACAGATTTATATTAAAAAATAGTGCAAAATCTCAACATTTATATAAATAACTCTAAAGCCCTGCTTTGTCATGTTTTCTTTACAAGGTAATACACACTTTCTGAGTTGGCACTCAAAAATTGCCATTCTTTTCCTCTTCTAGTTCAGAAAACAACATCTTTTTTTAATAGGCCTCTTCTAATACAAAAATACTCCTGCCCTCCCACATACAGTTTCTCTTATTTTATATATATTTATATATATATAATATTGCAGAGTTTTAAACAAAGGTTTTGTGCAAATTAAACAAAGGTTTTGTGCAAATATGTCTTTAAAGTTAAGTGAAATTATCATAAACAAAAGAAAATAAGCATTCACGCACACAGCTCAACTAGAAAGAAAAGACTAGAATTTGTTTGCTCTTTTGCCTTCAAGACACAGCTCAACAGAGAAACGTGGCTTCTGCAAGCTCCTTAGCTTGTGCATTCAGACCAGACATGACACGTAAATATTTGTACACGGAGAGGCGGGCAGCTGCTGCGCCGCGGCCGCGGCCCCCGCCGCCTCGCTCCTCTCCTAGAAGTGCGGAGTGTCCTGCCCTCTCCCCGCGGCGCCCGGCCGCCCGGGCTCCTAGAGCGGGTGTCCTTTCTGCTTATCCTTCTCCTTGCCCCAGATGGCTGAGCTCTCCAGGGGGCCGATGTGTGTGTGATGCAGCAAGGAGGGCGGCCCGCTGCTCAGCTGGTGCTGGAAGGAGGAGCCGGGGTAGTGCCCGATGACCTCGCTGTAGGTGGGGGGCGGCCCCTCCATGCGCCCGCCACTGCCGTAGCACGTGGCGCTGATGCCCGAGTTGCTGCCGGGG